ACAGACAGCCCTTGCATCATTTTCTCTCTCGAGCAAATAATTTGGAAGTTTTCGGGGAACAAACTTAGCCAGATCAAAGATAGCGTTTGCGTGAAGGCGGGTGGTGGGGGCAGAGGGAGGGGGGGGGGTTGCAGAGTGGCGTGTAGAAGCCTGCCAGTGCCACCGCGCACTTCTTCAAACACATGTAAATATCCCACGGTACCCGGCACTTCAAAAGACACCAGCGAAGCCTTTTTTCTGAGTGCCAATCATCAGAAAATCACAGAACAACATTTGGATCTTATTGTTGATAATAATGAGAGAGACCAGAGAGAGAGAGAGAGACCAGAGAGAGAGACCAGAGAGAGACCAGAGAGAGAGACCAGAGAGAGAGAGACCAGAGAGAGAGACCAGAGAGAGACCAGAGAGAGAGACCAGAGAGAGACCAGAGAGAGAGACCAGAGAGAGAGAGACCAGAGAGAGAGACCAGAGAGAGACCAGAGAGAGAGACCAGAGAGAGGACCAGAGAGGTAAGTTTTAAGTAAGTTAAGTTTTTATTTATATACCGCCTTTTCACTGCAGATCTGAGTCTCAAAGCGGTTTACAATTGTTAATTTTTGGGCATTTGTCTCTCACTCCACACAGAGATGGGAGCGGGGTCAGTACAGGAAGCGCATGCCAGAACTATTGGACATATTTTTAGTGGTAGGGGAAACCGGAGTACCCGGAGGAAACCTACGCAGACACGGGGAGAACATGCAAACTCCACTCAGAAAGGCCCTGGTCCGACCGGGATTCGAACCCAGGACCTTCTTGCTGAGAGGCGAGAGTGCTATCCACTCAGCCACCGTGCCACCGCCCGAGAGGTGTATTCATTGTAAACACAGTCCCAAATGAACAACTTTAAAATGAGTTTTGACCTCATGATTAAATGATGTTGTCCAGTTTATCAGCTTCATATAAAAGTGTTTCATTAAAACACATGTGACTGTTGCTTTAATCAAACTTCCAGATGAGCTGCAGAGAAACACATTTGGCTCTGATCCAAACCTGGACCTTTTCCCCGTTTCTGTGGAACCATTTATTTTGTGTTATTGGTTTTGTTGACGATACAAATGCGTTGATTTAGCATGAATATCGTCTTCATCTCTGATTTAGTGTCTTTTAAATGATCAAACAAACTCTTTCCTTCATAAATACTGTTCATACAGAAAGATACAGACTCATGATTTATAGAGATAAAATATGTTGAATGTGTTTTTTATCTTCATAATAAAATGCATCGGTTTCACACAGAGCTTTTCAGGACTCTCAAAGATGCTTCATTCATTCACTTTATACACAGTGGTGATAAACTACTACTGTCGCCACAGCTGCCCTGGGGCACACTGACAGAAGCCAGGCTCCTCCCACCACCACCAACCACTCACACACACACCAGACTCATTCTAATGTGGGGAAAGTGTCTTGCCTAAGGACTTTCCACTCGCAGCCGCCCCACTGTGGCTGGTGTTCCAGCAGCAGCAGCAGCAGCAGCAGTAGAAGCAGCAGTAGCAGTAGAAGCAGCAGCAGCAGCAGTAGAAGCAGCAGCAGCAGTAGAAGCAGCAGCAGCAGCAGTAGAAGCAGCAGTAGAAGCAGCAGCAGCAGTAGAAGCAGCAGCAGCAGCAGTAGAAGCAGCAGCAGCAGTAGAAGCAGCAGTAGAAGCAGCAGCAGCAGTAGAAGCAGCAGCAGCAGCAGTAGAAGCAGCAGCAGCAGCAGTAGAAGCAGCAGCAGCAGTAGAAGCAGCAGCAGCAGCAGCAGCAGCAGCAGTAGAAGCAGCAGCAGCAGTAGAAGCAGCAGCAGCAGTAGAAGCAGCAGCAGCAGTAGAAGCAGCAGCAGCAGTAGAAGCAGCAGCAGCAGCAGTAGAAGCAGCAGCAGCAGTAGTAGAAGCAGCAGCAGCAGTAGTAGAAGCAGCAGCAGCAGTAGAAGCAGCAGCAGCAGTAGAAGTAGCAGCAGTAGAAGCAGCAGCAGCAGCAGTAGAAGCAGCAGCAGCAGCAGTAGCAGTAGCAGTAGAAGCAGCAGCAGCAGCAGTAGAAGCAGCAGCAGCAGTAGAAGCAGTAGCAGCAGTAGAAGCAGTAGCAGCAGTAGAAGCAGTAGCAGTAGCAGCAGTAGAAGCAGCAGCAGCAGTAGAAGCAGCAGTACCTGCTCATTATGAGTTAAATTGTCCTAAATCTTCCAAAGCAGCAGAACCAACTTCCTCCTGATGTCTTTGAAATCCCACAAATCCTCATGATACAATTCTTTATTTACGATAAACGTTACAATAGACACACACTGACACACTTTGAGAAGGGCATTGGTTCAAGTCCCTCTAAATATCTTTTTAACCGTTCATAATCATTTATTTCTTTGCCACAACAATTATCTCTGGTTTTGTTCAGTGTTATTGCCATGACGACGGCCTCTGTCAGGAGCAGGGGTCGCCGTAGTACAGGACCCGGTTTGGTCAGGACCCGGTTTGGTCAGGACCCGGTTTGGTCAGGACCAGAGCTGATCATCTTTTTAGAGGTAGGGGAAACCGGAGCACACAGAGGAAACCTATGCAGACATGGTGAGAACATGCAAACTCCGCTCAGACGGGACCTGTTCAGACCCTGTTCTGGACTTCAAATCCAGGACCTTTTTACTGAGAAGTGGGAGCGCTAACCACTCAGCCACGGTGCAGCCCATAACAGAAGAGAAAGATCCACTACAGAAGTAAACGTAGATTTGGAAACATCAGGAAAGAAAGTTTACCGTTTTAAAACAACATGAAGCTGGACTTAAGCCTTCACGCTGTACCGATGTAAACTGTAATAATGTATAATGTGTATATTTGTTAGAACTTTGCTGAGTATATTCAAAACGTTGATCAAAATGGCTAAAAAAGGTGAAATTTACTGAATAATGGATGAATGAATGGATTTTAGTTAAAAACAGCGATGAAAGAATAAATGGTTCGGTCTCTGACATTAAGGCAGTTTATTTAATTACACGGAGATTTTGTGTTGAAATGATCCTCAAATAAGAGCACTTTATGTCAGTACTTTATGTCAGTACTTTATGTCAGTACTTTAGTCTTTTCAAACACTAAAGAACATGTGGTGCAGAAGTCTCCACGTTCATTTGTTCACATTTACAAAGAGAAAGATAAAAGTTTAATCATGGCTTTAGTAAAAATATTCAGTCTTTGGGTTAGGCTTTGAAGAACCGCTTTGAACTGGGTTTTACAGGAACAAAAGACTCCAGTAAAATCTAGTTAAAAACCGGTTTTGACTAGTTTGGTCCAGTCCAAAAAGCAGAGCAATCCGGTTTGGACAAGTTTAAACTGGTTTGGACTGGGTTTGGTTTCATTTAGTAAAGTCATAATGTTCAGTAAAATATTCAGTCTGTGGTTTTGAGCAGGACTTCCATTCCAGTTGAAACCGGTTTAGTTCACAGTTTTGACTAGTTCTGTCCAGTTTATTGCAGTTCAAACAGCAGCAAAATCCAGTTTGGACTGAGTTTGGTTTCAGTTAAGTCCCGATGTTGGCCCCTGTTTGAACCAGTTGAATCCAATGATGAGTCGAGTCCGGTCGGGTCCGGTTGAGTCTGGTCAGTCCTGGTTCAGACAGTGGTCTCCTGGTCTTCCCGCTGGATCATCTGGGAGTGTTGCTTGTTGTCCAGCCACGCCGCCAGCTCCAAGTCTTTGGCCTTCTCTGCACGGTTCTTTGCAGTCTCCCCCTGGTGGACAGACGGAGAATTGCTCAGTGATTCATCTACAACAGAGACCAGGAACCAATGCTTTTGACGATTGTGTCGGGCTCTCAGATAGAGCTGCAACTAACGATTATTTTGTAATCGATTAATCTATCGATTATTTTTACGATTAATCGAGTAATCGCTTGGCTGTGAATTGTGTAGAAAAAAATATTTTTTCATCACAAAAAGCTAAAGTGGCAACACTTGAGGACGTATTGATGGCGTAAACTTAAAGTAAATGTTTGTAACAGGCCCTTGGTGCTAATTCTGCTCTGATTGGATGAGACACAGATATTCATTTTGGTTATTACTACTGGAGCTTTTCAAGATTCAAGAATTGGTTTTCCATTTGCAGTAAAAGCACATTGGAAAAACTGCAAGACGACCCCAGTGTGATGTCAGAGTGTGATGTCATGTGTGATGTCAGAGTGTGATGTCATAGTGTGATGTCATAGTGTGGTGTCAGAGTGTGATGTCATAGTGTGATGTCATAGTGTGATGTCATAGTGTGATGTCATAGTGTGATGTCAGAGTGTGATGTCAGAGTGTGATGTCATGTGTGATGTCAGAGTGTGATGTCATAGTGTGATGTCATAGTGTGATGTCATAGTGTGATGTCATAGTGTGATGTCAGAGTGTGATGTCATAGTGTGATGTCAGAGTGTGATGTCATGTGTGATGTCAGAGTGTGATGTCATAGTGTGATGTCATAGTGTGGTGTCAGAGTGTGATGTCATGTATGATGTCAGAGTGTGATGTCATAGTGTGATGTCATAGTGTGATGTCATAGTGTGATGTCATAGTGTGATGTCAGAGTGTGATGTCATAGTGTGATGTCATGGGTGATGTCAGAGTGTGATGTCAGAGTGTGATGTCATAGTGTGATGTCATGTGTGATGTCAGAGTGTGATGTCAGAGTGTGATGTCATAGTGTGATGTCAGAGTGTGATGTCATAGTGTGATGTCATAGTGTGATGTCATAGTGTGATGTCAGAGTGTGATGTCATGTGTGATGTCAGAGTGTGATGTCATAGTGTGATGTCATAGTGTGATGTCATAGTGTGATGTCATAGTGTGATGTCAGAGTGTGATGTCAGAGTGTGATGTCAGAGTGTGATGTCATAGTGTGATGTCATGTGTGATGTCAGAGTGTGATGTCAGAGTGTGATGTCATAGTGTGATGTCATAGTTTGATGTCATGTGTGATGTCATAGTGTGATGTCAGAGTGTGATGTCAGAGTGTGATGTCATAGTGTGATGTCATGTGTGATGTCAGAGTGTGATGTCAGAGTGTGATGTCATAGTGTGATGTCAGAGTGTGATGTCATGGTGTGATGTCATAGTGTGATGTCGTTGAAGGCATCATCGGAGCCGTGGCCCAGGACTTCTTCGACAGCAGTGTGAGGATGGAGGTGCTGAAGGAGGTGCAGGAGGAGCAGAGGACGGGGAAACAGGAGCACGTGGTCTTCTCCGTCCAGATGTGGAAGAATCAGAGCCAAACGACCGCCGCAGACAACGTTAGACCATATAAACAAACTTTATAATTATGATTATTATGGGCTAAGAACAGGTCTAATGCAATATCATGTCTACAAGTGGTTTTTTCTCATTTTTATGTTTTCAGTTTTATATTGTGCTTTTCTGGACCCTGAAAGAAGCGATTGATGTGATTATGCATCTACAGCTCCCCTGGGTGTATGAAATGTGCTATATAAATAAACTTGCCATGTGACATACGTATACTTTAATTCGTGTATCTTAACTTATAAAATACAAATGATTATATTCTGAGAACGTGTTTGTAACAATTTGTCCCAGAGGTTCTTAAAGTTTCTGTTTTGATCATTTTAGGAGGAAATATTCACAAAGTTAAAGCAGAGATGCCTCGGAGTGAAGCAGCGCGGATGGGTCCTGGTCAGGACGGCCGTTTTGTCAGAAAGAAGTACGTCAAAGTCATTTTCATGGATTATTTTAGGATCGTTTTTCATCAGTTTGTTTGTGACGCCCAGGCCGCCCCCCGCGCTCCTGCAGCCCGCTTTACCCCGAGAAGCTGTGGATCGAGGAGAGATCTTTCTGCAACGCCTTTCCCTTCCACATGGTGTTCGACGCCAGCGTGAGTCGCCGTTCATCCGGTGGAAAGAACACTGCTCTGGAGAGTAGCTTCAGTGACAGACTTATTCACCCCCGCTGTGTGAAGGAGAGGTCTCGCAGGTCCCTCCTCCCTGCTGCTGTCAGACTGTACAACGAGAACGGCTGAGTCTGTCCACAGGCCTGATGATAACTCACTGGTCACTTTACCTGTTGTTATTATAGTTTATTCTAGTCTTTTACTCCGCTGCTAAAGTACAATAAACACATCTGTAAATACTTCTGAAACAAGTGCCATTAAAGCTCCAGAGTTTTAAGGATTATTTTATCTTAAAATCTTCTTCTCCTTCTGTTTTGTGCAGCTCAGAGCACAGCAGGTGGGAGTGAACATCCAGAAGTTCTTCCCTGGTCTCCTGAGCGACGGCGCCACAGTGGACCAGTACTTCACCCTGGTCCATCCTCAGGTATCTCTGCACAGACCTGCGCTACAAAGTTAGTTAGCTACTACTGCTACAAGTTAGTTAGTACTGCTACAAGTTAGCTAGTACTGCTACAAGTTAGCTAGTACTGCTACAAGTTAGCTAGTACTGCTACACGTTAAGTAGTACTGCTACAATTATACCTGTCATCTTTTCACTGCAAAAAGTGTCTCGCTCTCTCTCTCTCTCTCTCTCTCTCCCCTCCGCTCTCTCTCTCTCTCTTGCTCTCTCTCTCTCTCTCGCTCGCTCTCTCGCTCTCTCTCTCTCTCTCTCTCTCTCTCTCTCTCTCTCTCTCTCTCTCTCTCTCTCTCTCTCTCTCTCTCGCTCTCTCTCTCGCTCGCTATCTCTCTCTCTCTCTCTCGCTCTCTCTCTCTCGCTCTCTCTCTCTCTCTCTGTCTCTCGCTCGCTCTCTCTCACGCGCTCTCTCTCTCTCTCGCGCTCTCTCTCTCGCGCTCTCTCTCTCTCGCTCGCACTTTCTCTCGCTCTGTTTCTCTCTCTCTTTCGCTCGCTCTCTCTCTTGCTCTGTCTCACTCTCTCTCGCTCTCTCACACGCTCTCTCTCTTGCTCTCTCTCTCGCTCTCTCGCTCTCTCTCTCTCTCTCTCTCTCTCTCTCTCTCTCTCTCTCTCTCTCTCTCTATCATCTATCCATCTAAATAACTGAGAGATTGTATCCACACTCTTTAGTGTGCTGTGAGTATTTGTTTTATCTGTGTATCCGAGTATCCGAGCTGTGAGTATTTGTTTTATCTGTGTATCCGAGTATCCGAGCTGTGAGTATTTGTTTTATCTGTGTATCCGAGTATCCGAGCTGTGAGTATTTGTTTTATCTGTGTATCCGAGTATCCGAGCTGTAAGTATTTGTTTTATCTGTGTATCCGAGTACTTGGAGCTGTGAGTATTTGTTTTATCTTTGTATCCGAGTACTTGGCGCTGTGAGTATTTGTTTTATCTGTGTGTATCCGAGTACTTGGAGCTGTGAGTATTTGTTTTATCTGTGTGTATCCAAGTACTTTGAGCTGTGAGTATTTGTTTTATCTGTGTATCCGAGTACTTGGAGCTGCCTTGAGTATGAACTGTGCTATACAAAAACCTCGCCTCCATCCTTGTGTTGACCATGTGTGTCCAGGTGAGCTTCACCATCGAGAGCATCCAGACGTTCATCAACAGTCAGTTTGTGCTGGGGAGCAGCGGCAGACACACGAGCTCCATCACACTCAGAGGTGACGCGCTGTTCTCCTCCTCCCCCATCTCTCCCCCATCTCTCCCCCGTCCTCCTCCATCGTTCTATAGTTTACAGACAAAACTGGGCACATTTCTCACGACGAGGGAGAGAGGCCAGAAAGAGACCAGAGAGAGACCAGAGCAAGACCAGAGAGAGACCAGAGCAAGACCAGAGAGAGGCCAGAAAGAGACCAGAGAGAGACCAGAGCAAGACCAGAGAGAGACCAGAGCAAGACCAGAGAGAGACCAGAGAGAGACCAGAGAGAGACCAGAGAGAGACCAGAGAGAGACCAGAGAGAGACCAGAGAGAGAGACCAGAGAGAGACCAGAGAGAGACCAGAGAGAGACCAGAGAGAGACCAGAGCAAGACCAGAGAGAAAGGCCAGAGAGAGAGACCAGAGAGAGACCAGAGAGAGACCAGAGAGAGACCAGAGAGAGAGACCAGAGAGAGACCAGAGAGAGACCAGAGAGAGAGACCAGAGAGAGACCAGAGAGAGAGACCAGAGAGAGACCAGAGAGAGAGACCAGAGAGAGACCAGAGAGAGACCAGAGAGAGAGACCAGAGAGAGAGACCAGAGAGAGACCAGAGAGAGAGACCAGAGAGAGACCAGAGAGAGACCAGAGAGAGAGACCAGAGAGAGAGACCAGAGAGAGACCAGAGAGAGACCAGAGAAAGAGACCAGAGAGAGACCAGAGAGAGACCAGAGAGAGAGACCAGAGAGAGACCAGAGAGAGACCAGAGAGAGACCAGAGAGAGAGACCAGAGAGAGACCAGAGAGAGACCAGAGAGAGAGACCAGAGAGAGACCAGAGAGAGAGACCAGAGAGAGACCAGAGAGAGACCAGAGAGAGAGACCAGAGAGAGAGACCAGAGAGAGACCAGAGAGAGACCAGAGAGAGAGACCAGAGAGAGACCAGAGAGAGACCAGAGAGAGACCAGAGAGAGACCAGAGAGAGAGACCAGAGAGAGACCAGAGAGAGACCAGAGAGAGACCAGAGAGAGACCAGAGAAAGACCAGAGAGAGACCAGAGCAAGACCAGAGAGAGACCAGAGAGAGACCAGAGCAAGACCACAGAGAGACCAGAGAAAGACCAGAGAGAGACCAGAGAGAGAGACCAGAGAGAGACCAGAGAGAAACCAGAGAGAGAGACCAGAGAGACACCAGAGAGAGAGAGAATGGAAGTGACTCTAGACTAGAGTGTTGTCTAGAAGAGTATAGTTTTGTGTGTTCAATAGATCGGGCTTGTTGTGTTGTTGTGTTGCCAGGTCAGATGGTGTGGATGTCCTCTCTGGGCTCCATGCTGTACCTCTGCTCCCCGAAGCTCCGCAGCCTCCGGGAGCTGCAGGACTCGGGGCTGCACCTGTCCGACCTGGCCCAGCACGACGTGACCAGGGACCTGGTGCTGCTCAACCAACAGAGGCTGGCTGAGATGGAGCTGACCAACCAGCTGGAGCGCAAGAAGGTCACACAGGGTCTCTCTGGTCTCTCTCTGGTCTCTCTCTGGTCTCTCTCTCTGGTCTCTCTCTGGTCTCTCTCTGGTCTCTCTCTGCTCTCTCTCTCTGGTCTCTCTCTCCGGTCTCTCTCTGGTCTCTCTCTGGTCTCTCTCTCCGGTCTCTCTCTGGTCTCTCTCTGGTCTCTCTCTAGTCTCTCTCTGGTCTCTCTCTGATCTCTCTCTGGTCTCTTTCCGGTCCCTCTGGTCTCTCTCTGGTCTCTCTCTGGTCTCTCTCTCTGGTCTCTCTCTGGTCTCTTTCCGGTCCCTCTGGTCTCTCTCTGGTCTCTCTCTGGTCTCTCTCTGGTCTCTCTCTCTGGTCTCTCTCTGGCCTTTCTCTGGTCTCTCTCTCTGATCTCTCTCTGGCCTTTCTCTGGTCTCTCTCTGGTCTCTTTCTCTGGTCTCTCTCTCTGGTCTCTCTCTCTGGTCTCTCTCTGGTCTCTCTCTGGTCTCTCTCTCTGCTCTGGTCTCTCTCTCTGGTCTCTCTCTGGTCTCTCTCTCTGGTCTCTCTCTGGTCTCTCTCTCTGGTCTCTCTCTGGTCTCTCTCTCTCTGGTCTCTCTCTCTGGTCTCTCTCTCTGGTCTCTCTCTGGTCTCTCTCTGGTCTCTCTCTGGTCTCTCTCTGGTCTCTCTCTCTGGTTTCTCTCTGGTCTCTCTCAGTAGTAGCAGTAGTAGCAGCAGCAGTAGTAGTAGCAGCAGTAGTAGTAGTAGTAGTAGTAGTAGTAGTAGTAGCAGTAGCAGTAGCAGCAGTAGCAGTAGCAGTCTTAGCAGTAGCAGTAGCAGTAGCAGTCGTAGCAGTAGCAGTCTTAGCAGTAGCAGCAGTAGCAGTAGCAGTAGCAGTATCAGAATCAGAATCAGAATCAGAATCATTTTTATTGCCAACGTAAGTAACGGGAGGTCACAGACTTGGAAATTGCTTTGGCTCAGTGCAACAGTCAAAAAGAGATAATAAAAATAAGAATAAAAAACACTTCTAAAGAATAAATTTAAATTTAAAATAGAGTTACAGTTACTATTTACAATATACAAGTGCACATGGTGCACACAATGTAAGGTGACAGCAGTACAGTGAAGTAAAGTGACGTATGATGGGCAGTAAAGTGACTTTATAAAGGGCGGGGGGACAGGTTAAGAAGTGTTCAAGAGTCCAACAGCAGAGGGGAAGAAACTGTTCTTGTGGCGGGAGGTTCTAGTCCTGATGGACCGCAGCCTCCTGCCTGAGGGGAGTGGTTGGAATAGTCCATGTGCAGGGTGAGAGGGGTCGGCTGTGATACGACCAGCCCGGCCTCGAGCTCGGGCGACGTACAGGTCCTGCAACGATGGAAGGCTGCGGCCGATCACTTCCTCTGCAGAGCGCACAATGCGCTGTAGTCTCTGTTTGTCCCTGACTGTGGCTCCAGCGAACCACACGGTGATGGAGGAGGTGAGGATGGACTCGATGATGGCCGTGTAGAACTGCACCAACATCTGTGCAGGCAGCTTGGCTTTCCTGAGCTGCCGCAGGAAGTACATCCTCTGCTGGGCCTTCTTGATGAGGGAGCTGATGGTCGGCTCCCACTTGAGGTCCTGGGTGATGGTGGTGCCCAGGAAACGGAAGGACTCCACAGAGGTGATGGGGGAGTCCATCACGGAGGGTGGGGGCGGGGGGACAGTGCTCTTCCTGAAGTCCACAATCATCTCCACTGTCTTCTGGGCGTTCAGCTCCAGGTTGTTACCACTGCACCAGGACACCAGCCGGTCCACCTCCCTCCTGTAGGCGGACTCATCGTTGTTGGAGATGAGTCCAATGAGGGTGGTGTCGTCCGCGAACTTGATCAGCTTCACGGAGTCGTGGCTGGAGGTGCAGTGGTTGGTGTACAGGGAGAAGAGCAGGGGAGAAAGAACACAGCCCTGTGGGGCTCCTGTATTTATAATCCGAGAGTCCGAGACATTCTTCCCCAGACGCACTCGCTGCTTCCTGTCCGTCAGGAAGTCAGTGATCCACCTGCAGGTGGAATCGGGCACGTTGAGCTGGGAGAGCTTGTCCTGGAGCAGGGATGGCAGGATTGTGTTGAAGGCAGAGCTGAAGTCCACGAACAGGACAGTAGCAGTAGCAGTAGCAGTCGTAGCAGTAGTAGTAGCAGTAGCAGTAGCAGCAGTAGCAGTAGCAGTCTTAGCAGTAGCAGTAGCAGTAGCAGTCGTAGCAGTAGCAGTCTTAGCAGTAGCAGCAGTAGCAGTAGCAGTAGCAGTAGCAGTAGCAGTAGCAGTAGCAGTCGTAGCAGTAGTAGTAGCAGTAGCAGTAGCAGCAGTAGCAGTAGCAGTCTTAGCAGTAGCAGTAGCAGTAGCAGTCGTAGCAGTAGCAGTCTTAGCAGCAGTAGCAGTAGCAGTAGCAGTAGCAGCAGTAGCAGTAGCAGCAGTAGCAGCAGTAGTAGCAGTAGCAGTAGTAGCAGTAGCAGTAGTAGCAGCAGTAGCAGCAGTAGCAGTAGCAGTAGCAGCAGTAGCAGTAGCAGTAGTAGTAGCAGCAGTAGCAGTAGCAGTAGCAGTAGCAGCAGTAGCAGTAGCAGTCTTAGCAGTAGCAGTAGCAGTAGCAGTCGTAGCAGTAGCAGTCTTAGCAGCAGTAGCAGTAGCAGTAGCAGTAGCAGCAGTAGCAGTAGCAGCAGTAGCAGCAGTAGCAGTAGCAGTAGTAGCAGTAGCAGTAGTAGCAGCAGTAGCAGCAGTAGCAGTAGCAGCAGTAGCAGTAGCAGTAGCAGTAGTAGTAGCAGCAGTAGCAGTAGCAGTAGCAGCAGCAGTGACTGGTGGCTGTGTCCAGGAGGAGCTGAGGATCCTGTCCCACTTCCTGGAGGTGGAGAAGGAGAAGTCGGAGACGCTGCTGTACGCCATGTTGCCTCGACACATCGCCAACCAGCTGAAAGACGGGAAGAGTGTGGAGGCAGGTCTGTCGCAGCTACCCAGCCTACCATAGCCTACCCTCACCACAGCCTACCCCCACCACAGCCTACCCCCACAACCACATCCTACCCCCACCACATCCTACCCCCACCACAGCCTACCCCCACCACAGCCTACCCCCACCACATCCTACCCCCACAACCACATCCTACCCCCACCACAGCCTACCCCCACCACAGCCTACCCCCACCACATCCTACCCCCACCACAGCCTACCCCCACCACAGCCTACCCCCACCACAGCCTACCCCCACCACATCCTACCCCCACCACAGCCTACCCCCACCACAGCCTACCCCCACCACAGCCTACCCCCACCACAGCCTACCCCCACCACATCCTACCCCCACCACAGCCTACCCCCACCACAGCCTACCCCCACCACAGCCTACCCCCACCACAGCCTACCATAGCCTACCCCCACCACAGCCTACCCCACAACCACAGCCTACCCCCACCACATCCTACCCCCACCACAGCCTACCCCCACCACATCCTACCATAGCCTACCCCCACCACAGCCTACCCCACAACCACAGCCTACCCCCACCACATCCTACCCCCACCACAGCCTACCCTCACCACAGCCTATCATAGCCTACCCCCACCACATCCTACCCCCACCACAGCCTACCCCCACCACAGCCTATCATAGCCTACCCCCACCACAGCCTACCCCCACCACAGCCTACCCCCACCACAGCCTACCCCCACCACATCCTACCCCCACCACAGCCTACACCCAGCATAGCCTACCCCCACCACATCCTATCCCCACCACAGCCTACCCCCACCACAGCCTACCCTCACCACATTCTACCCCCACCACAGCCTACCCCCATCACAGCCTACCCCCACAACCACAGCCTACCCCCACCATAGCCTACCCCCACCACATCCTACCCCCACCACAGCCTACACCCAGCACATCCTATCCCCACCACAGCCTAGTCCCATCATCGCCTACCCCCACCACATCCTACCCCCATCACAGCCTACCCTCACAACCACAGCCTACCCCCACAACCACAGCCTACCCCCACAACCACAGCCTACCCCCACCATAGCCTACCCCCACCACATCCTACCCCCACCACAGCCTACACCCAGCACATCCTATCCCCACCACAGCCTAGTCCCATCATAGCCTACTCCCATCATAGCCTACCCCCACCACATCCTACCCCCACCACAGCCTACCCTCACAACCACAGCCTACCCCCACAACAACCACAGCCTACCCCCACAACCACAGCCTACCCCCACAATCACAGCCTACCCCCACCACATCCTACCCCCACCACAGCCTACCCCCACAATCACAGCCTACCCCCACCACAGCCTACCCTCACCATAGCCTACCCCCACCACATCCTACCCCCACCACAGCCTACCCCCACCACAGCCTACCCCCACAACCACAGCCTACCCCCACAATCACAGCCTACCCCCACCACAGCCTACCCTCACCACAGCCTACCCCCACAACCACAGCCTACCCCCACCACAGCCTACCCTCATCATAGCCTACCCCCACCACATCCTACCCTCATCATAGCCTACCCCCATCACATCCTACCCCCACCACAGCCTACCCCCACAACCACAGCCTACCCCCACAATCACAGCCTACCCTCACCACATCCTACCCCCACCACAGCCTACCCCCATCACAGCCTACCCCCATCACAGCCTACCCCCACCACAGCCTACCATAGCCTACCCCCACCACAGCCTACCCCCACAACCACAGCCTACCCCCACCACAGCCTACCCTCATCACAGCCTACCCTCACCACAGCCTACCCCCACCACAGCCTACCCTCACCACAGCCTACCCCCACCACAGCCTACCCTCACCACAGCCTACCCCCATCACAGCCTACCCCCACCACAGCCTACCCCCATCACAGCCTACCCTCACCACAGCCTACCCCCACCACAGCCTACCCCCACCACAGCCTACCCCCACCACATCCTACCCCCACCACAGCCTACCCCCACCACGGCCTACCACATCCTACCCCCACCACGGCCTAACCCATCCTACCCCCACCACATCCCACCCCCACCACGGCCTACCCCATCCCACCCCCACCACGGCCTACCCCATCCCACCCCCACCACGGCTTTCCGAGCCAATTTACACAGATTTTTCATAACGATTCTGAATATTTTGTCATTCATGTCTGATAAACGGCCTCTGTAATCTTTACCTTGGACATGAGCTCTTCTTTGGCTGTGTTCTGATTTGTTCACAACATTTTACTTTTACTGAGTTCTTTGTGTTGGGGCAAACCTCATGTATCATTTATGTACCAAAGAAAGAGTCACTGCAGCTTTAAGAGCCTAATGGGATCCACACGGAGCGGACCCCTCTGCTCTCTCTCCCTGAGGTTTCTCACAGTTTCTCTCTTCTCGTTCTGAATCGTTCCAAGTCCAGTGATGATCTGGGAGTTTTATGCACATTTTAACTCTATATGGACTAATGGTTCTTATGTGTTTGAATTCTTTGATTCTCTCTCTGGTCTCTCTCTCTGGTCTCTCTCTGGTCTCTCTCTGGTCTCTCTCTGGTCTCTCTCTGGTCTCTCTCTGGTGTGTCTCTGTCTCTAAGGTCTCTCTCTGGTCTCTCTCTCTGGTCTCTAAGGTCTCTCTCTGGTCTCTCCCTGGTCTCTCTCTGGTCTCTCTCTGGTGTGTCTCTGTCTCTAAGGTCTCTCTCTGGTCTCTCTCTCTGGTCTCTAAGGTCTCTCTCTGGTCTCTCTCTGGTCTCTCTCTGGTCTCCTTCTGGTCTCCCTCTGGTCTCTCTGGTCTCCCTCTGGTCTCCCTCTGGTCTCCCTCTGGTCTCTCTCTGGTCTCCCTCTGGTCTCCCTCTGGTCTCCCTCTGGTCTCTCTGGTCTCCCTCTGGTCTCTCTGGTCTCTCTGGCCTCTCCCTCTGGTCTCTCTCTGGTCTCTCTCTGGTCTCTCTGGTCTCCCTCTGGTCTCCCTCTGGTCTCTCTGGTCTCTCTCTGGCCTCTCCCTCTGGTCTCTCTCTGGTCTCTCTCTGGTCTCTCTGGTCTCCCTCTGGTCTCCCTCTGGTCTCTCTGGTCTCCCTCTGGTCTCCCTCTGGTCTCCCTCTGGTCTCCCTCTGGTCTCCCTCTGGTCTCATCCTGGTCTGTGTGTGCAGGAGAGTTTGAGGTGTGTACCATCCTGTTCAGTGATGTAGTGACCTTCACAAACATGTGCTCGGCCTGTGAGCCCATTCAGATCGTGCACATGCTCAACTCCATGTACTCCAGGTTCGACCGCCTCTCCAGCCTCCACGACGTCTACAAGGTCAGAGCCGCCACGCTCAAAGGCCGGGGTAACCAGGGCAACCGTGGGAATGGGCGGCGTGTCGTTTGGAACCGTGTGTCTCGGGCCGTGGGAGGAACATTTCCTTCAGAATCAGTCTTTCAAAGTCATCTGTACAGTCCCTGTCGAGCCATTTGCCCAGCCCTTACATTATAAAACTTATCTTTTTGCAATGAATAGTTTTAAAGGAAAACACAAGCCCAGAAGAGTCAGAATCTCCCGAACACACGGAAAGAGTCCCTGAAGTCCTGAATGTGAACTGGACCAGGGACAGAACCTACAGCTCCCGCAAAGGAGGATCCTGTGGAGATTCTAGTCCCTTTTTATTCTTAAATCCGATGGTTTTCTGTTAATCCAGAGCCACAAACTCTGCTCACTGTGGTCCCACTCTACCCTGGTCTTACCATGTGTAAACTCTGGACCATGATCATTTCCTACATGTACGTCTGGTCTTACCATGTGCAAACTCTGGTCCATGATCATTTCCTACATGTACGTCTGGTCTTACCATGTGTAAACTCTGGTCCATGATCATTTCCTACATGTACGTCTGGTCTTACCATGTGCAAACTCTGGTCCATGATCATTTCCTACATGTACGTCTGGTCTTACCATGTGCAAACTCTGGTCCATGATCATTTCCTACATGTACGTCTGGTCTTACCATGTGCAAACTCTGGTCCATGATCATTTCCTACATGTACGTCTGGTCTTACCATGTGTAAACTCTGGTCCATGATCATTTCCTACATGTACGTCTGGTCTTACCATGTGCAAACTCTGGTCCATGATCATTTCCTACATGTACGTCTGGTCTTACCATGTGCAAACTCTGGTCCATGATCATTTCCTACATGTACGTCTGGTCTTACCATGTGCAAACTCTGGTCCATGATCATTTCCTACATGTACGTCTGGTCTTACCATGTGTAAACTCTGGTCCATGATCATTTCCTACATGTACGTCTGGTCTTACCATGTGCAAACTCTGGTCCATGATCATTTCCTACATGTACGTCTGGTCTTACCATGTGCAAACTCTGGTCCATGATCATTTCCTACATGTACGTCTGGTCTTACCATGTGCAAACTCTGGTCCATGGTCATCTCCTACATGTACGTCTGGTCTTACCATGTGTAAACTCTGGTCCATGATCATCTCCTACATGTACGTCTGGTCTTACCATGTGCAAACTTTGGTCCATGATCATTTTCTACATGTACGTCTGGTCTTACCATGTGTAAACTCTGGTCCATGATCATTTCCTACATGTACGTCTGGTCTTACCATGTGCAAACTCTGGTCCATGATCATTTCCTACATGTACGTCTGGTATTACCATGTGTAAACTCTGGTCCATGGTCATTTCCTACATGTACGTCTGGTCTTACCATGTGTAAACTCTGGTCCATGATCATTTCCTACATGTACGTCTGGTCTTACCATGTGTAAACTCTGGTCCATGATCATTTCCTACATGTACGTCTGGTCTTACCATGTGCAAACTCTGGTCCATGATCATTTCCTACATGTACGTCTGGTCTTACCATGTGCAAACTCTGGTCCATGATCATTTCCTACATGTACGTCTGGTCTTACCATGTGTAAACTCTGGTCCATGATCATTTCCTACATGTACGTCTGGTCTTACCATGTGCAAACTCTGGTCCATGATCATTTCCTACATGTACGTCTGGTCTTACCATGTGCAAACTCTGGTCCATGATCATTTCCTACATGTACGTCTGGTCTTACCATGTGCAAACTCTGGTCCATGGTCATCTCCTACATGTACGTCTGGTCTTACCATGTGTAAACTCTGGTCCATGATCATCTCCTACATGTACGTCTGGTCTTACCATGTGCAAACTTTGGTCCATGATCATTTTCTACATGTACGTCTGGTCTTACCATGTGTAAACTCTGGTCCATGATCATTTCCTACATGTACGTCTGGTCTTACCATGTGCAAACTCTGGTCCATGATCATTTCCTACATGTACGTCTGGTCTTACCATGTGTAAACTCTGGTCCATGGTCATTTCCTACATGTACGTCTGGTCTTACCATGTGTAAACTCTGGTCCATGATCATTTCCTACATGTACGTCTGCAGAAGGAGTTAACCCCTCCCACCTGTTAACGGCGCAAATCCAGACCTTAGTGCCAAATGAAATGAGTACATGGTACGGTAAGACCAGGCTAAGCAAATGCTAATGCTAACTCTAAAGGGCAGCCATCTTGGATCGCCGGGGCTTGATGCAGGCACATTTCTGGACCTAATTTCCCATGACTATATTTGGACATATCCCTTTTTCATTCCGCAGGTGGAGACCATCGGCGACGCCTATATGGTGGTGGGCGGAGTTCCGGTTCCCACGGCGACACACGCCCACAATGTGGCCAACTTTGCCCTGGGGATGAGGATCGCGGCCCGGGACGTCACCAACCCTGTCAGCGGGGAGCCCATCCAGGTGCGGCTCATGTTGCATTTCCATGTTTGGTTCTCTGATCTGTTGTTGATGAATCGATAACTCTGTAGTTGCCTTGACGACTGCTGTTGTGATTTAACGATTTCATCATTGAGTTGTTCACTGAAGCTTCCTGTTGACACTGAGGCGTGTGCTGTAGATCCGTGTGGGTCTGCACACGGGGCCGGTCCTGGCCGGGGTGGTGGGACAGAGGATGCCTCGCTACTGTCTGTTTGGGGACACGGTCAACACCGCGTCCAGGATGGAGAGCCACGGACTCCCTGACCACATCCACCTCAGTGCTGCCACCTACAGGTCAGAGGCTGAACTGCTGTTTATTCTGGGTGCTCTGTGGTTAGTATTATCCCAAAACCTTTTGTGGTTCAATGAATACTAACTACTGAGTAATAATGTGTACATTATAGCTGCAGGTTCATTCTCCACATGTCGTGGATTATCACGGCCCGCTGCAATTAATGACCTAAAGATTTTATATTTCTTGGAATACTGTTCCATCAGAAAGTTATTTTGCATCAGCTACAGCCAGTTGTTTCCCAAATCTACAGCCTCAGTCCTGGGTCTACAGCCTCAGTCCAGGGTCTACAGCCTCAGTCCTGGGTCTACAGTCTCAGTCCTGGGTCTAGAGCCTCAGTCCTGGGTCTACAGCCTCAGTCCTGGGTCTACAGCCTCAGTCCTGGGTCTACAGCCTCAGTCCTGGGTCTACAGCCTCAGTCCTGGGTCTAGAGCCTCAGTCCTGGGTCTACAGCCTCAGTCCTAGTTCTCCAGTCCGGGCTTCTAAGGACAACGATGATCCGAGATATTTATGCACATTGATTAAACATTTCTGGACCTCCCTATGGACCAGTGACTCTTTTGTGTTTGTTATTATTGAATTTGAGACGACACCGACCGCTGTTGTGATTTAGGGCTATATAAATATAAATGTAATTAAAACAGCTGAAGTAGACTCAGTGGAGCAGAGGGCGGAGGGTTGTTCCAAAGTCATCACACACTGCTCTTTTATTGTTTTGTAATTCATTTCAGTTTTTAACGCTCCTCTGTCCTACAATACACACACCGTCCACACGGGGGCGCCCTTGAGCCACAGTCCAGACTCATCTTTCTGTCGTGTTGCCACCTGCTTTATGAATATCCAATGTTTCATTCACAATATATAGGATTTTTCTGCCATATTGTGTCCAAATATAACCACGTATTAACTATTGAGACTGAGAGCTAAAAATGTGGCTGTGATAAATCAGAACCACTGCTTCCTCTCACAGATGTTTATGGTCCGATGGAAGACACTTATGGTTCGAAGGATGTTGAGACGAGGCCGTAATTCTGCTTTCAGTGATTTAATTTATTGTTGTTTGTTGTTATTTCACACAACTGCTCTAGAATAATGAATTCTAAGGACTGTGGTGTCTGTTAAAGGGGCTGTAACATGTTGATACAGTTATTACAATCACACTTCCTGTCTGTGGCACAAGCAGCTCCTGAGATCACACTGATGCAACCCACCTGCTGGAGTTTAGCTAGAAATGGTACAACCTCTGTGTGTGTACGACTCCTTCTTTTTAGTATCAACCCATCCTTCCATTTTCTGCCCTTCCAATTTTTGGGTCGAGTTTCATCTAAATGATCATTCTATGTGCTGTGCTCCTTTTTATTTTAAAGACAGACCCATCCTGCTCTCTGATTGGATAATCTGCTTGTATTATGGACGCCATGTTTATTGTTTTTTTAATCAAGAATATCCAGATTTTACACTTTGGTTGGGAAACTGTCAAATGTGTGTACAGTATTTATACATGTGCCCTGTTTTCTTAAGACGCATAAATATTTAGTTTAAATGAAAAATATGAAATGCTGTCTCTTTAAGCATGTGCACAGAGAAGGTCATTTCATTTAAAACAAAACTAAAGCATGACTAAAGTGATATGAGAAAATAGTGTTTTGTATCCACAGCTGTATTTTAAGCTTTTTATTTTATTTTTCTACCATCTTGGAGTCAGTGTTTTATAATTGCTCCCCCGTACCCCACGTGTCAGACTCGTGGCCCGGGACGTTGGATCACAGCCATGTCTGCGCCTCTGTCCTACTTCTTAAATGGTTATCTATTCAGCAGAGACTCCCATCCATCGGTCACTCAGCAGCGACACGGTTCACGGCCCGGGGAGTTCCTCAGGGGTCGATGCTTGGCCCACTTTTCTTCCATTTAACACCGGCTGACATCGGACCGTGCGCTCTCCCCTGATTGGGAACCGAGGCTGCAGCTATTCTTAGATATGTCTCAGAATAGAATAAATGTAGCACAGACATTTGTCTACGTTCAACCTATTGTTAAGCGAACACACAACAGTAACACAACAGTAACACAACAGTAACACAACAGTAACACATACAGTCACACAACAGTCACACAACAGTAACACAACAGTCACACAACAGTCACACAACAGTAACACAACAGTCACACAACAGTCACACAACAGTAACACAACAGTCACACAACAGTAACACAACAGTCACACATACAGTAACACAACAGTCACACATACAGTAACACAACAGTAACACAACAGTCACACAACAGTAACACAACAGTCACACAACAGTCACACAACAGTAACACAACAGTCACACAACAGTCACACAACAGTAACACAACAGTCACACAACAGTAACACATACAGTCACACAACAGTCACACAACAGTAACACAACAGTCACACAACAGTAACACAATAACACAACAGTAACACATCAGTAACACAACAGTAACACATACAGTAACACAACAGTCACACAACAGTAACGCAACAGTAACACAACAGTCACACATACAGTAACACAACAGTCACACAACAGTAACACATCAGTAACACAACAGTCACACAACAGTAACACAAAAGTAACATATACAGTCACACAACAGTCACACAACAGTCACACAATAGTCACACATACAGTCACACAACAGTAACACAACAGTAACACATACAGTCACACAACAGTAACACAACAGTAGCACAACAGTAACACATACAGTCACACAACAGTCACACAACAGTCACACAACAGTCACACAACAGTCACACAACAGTCACACAACAGTTACACAACAGTCACACAACAGTAACACAACAGTAACACAACAGTCACACAACAGTAACACAACAGTAACACAACAGTCACACAACAGTAACACAACAGTAACACAACAGTAACACATACAGTCACACAACAGTAACACATACAGTCACACAACAGTAACACAACAGTCACACATACAGTAACACAACAGTCACACATACAGTAGGCAAGGCAAGGCAAGGCAAGTTTATTTGTATAGCACAATTCATACACAAGGCAACTCAAAGTGCTGAACAAGATAGCATTAAAATCATAAATAATTACAGAACATTAAAACGAAAGCTAAAAATATAAAATCCCTCAGTTGTAGCACAGTTAAACAGCACCGTTTTTAACCTGGTTTTAAACATTGTCAGAGAGGAGGCCTGTCTCACATCTTCAGGAAGATTGTTCCAGATTTTAGCAGCATGAATCTGAAAAGCAGCCTCCCCATGTTTAGTTCTGACTCTGGGTACTAACAGGAGTCCAGTCCCTGTGCTCCTCAGAGTCCCAGCAGGAGTCCAGTCCCTGTGCTCCTCAGAGTCCGGGCTGGTTCATATGGGACTAACATGTCACTAATATATTTTGGTGCGAGGCCATGGAGAGACTTGTAACAAGCAGAGCTGTTTTAAAGTCTATTCTCTGAGCCACAGGAAGCCAGTGCAGGGACCTGAGGACTGGACTAATGTGGTCGTACTTCCTGGTTCTAGTCAGGACTAATGTGGTCGTACTTCCTGGTTCTAGTCAGGACTAATATGGTCGTACTTCCTGGTTCTAGTCAGGACTAATGTGGTCGTACTTCCTGGTTCTTGTCAGGACTAATATGGTCGTACTTCCTGGTTCTAGTCAAGACTAATGTGGTCGTACTTCCTGGTTCTAGTCAGGACTCGAGCTGCTGCATTTTGAATGTACTGCAGCTGTTTTACAGCCTGTTTGGACAGACCTGTGAGCAGGCCATTGCAGTAGTCTAACCTACTGGAGACAAATGCATGGATAAGAATCTCCAAGTCTGCTTTAGACACTATGTTTTTGATCCTGGCAATGTTTTTTAGATGGTAAAAAGCTGCTGATGTTACTGATTTGATGTGGCTATTAAAATTTAAGTCTGAGTCCAGTATTACCCCTAGATTTCTGACCTTGTTTGAAGGTTTTAGGGAGAGAGACTGTAGATGACAGATGACGCTCTCTCTTTGTTTCTGGGGACCAAAGGCAATCATTTCAGTTTTGTCTGCGTTTAGCTGAAGGAAGTTGTTTTGCATCCACTCACTGATCTGTTGGATACAGTGAAGGAGTGAGTCCACTGGTCCATGTTCTCCTGCAGTCAGTGAGACATAGATCTGAGTGTCGTCTGCATAGTTATGATAGGAAACTTTGTTTCTGCGTATTAACTGACCTAACGGCAGCATGTAGAGATTGAACAGAAGAGGTCCCAGGATCGACCCCTGTGGTACTCCACAGGTCAGGGCCATATGATCTGAGACACAGTTTCCAATCTCCACAAAGTACTTCCTGTCCTCAAGGTAAGACCTAAACCAACTTAGGGCGGTGCCAGCGACGCCAACCCAGTCCTCTAGTCTCTGTAAGAGGATCTCATGGTCGACAGTGTCAAAGGCAGCACTTAGATCTAACAGGATTAGGATTGAGACTTGGCCTGCGTCAGTGTTCAGCCGGATATCATTTGTAACCTTAACGAGAGCAGTCTCAGTGCTGTGGTGGGGTCTAAAGCCGGACTGAAACATATCAAATGAGTTGTTGATTATAAGAAATCTAGTAAGCTGTAGGTAGACAACTTTTTCAAGGACTTTCCCCATAAATGGCAGATTTGAGATGGGACGATAGTTGTTAAGTACCGTAGCATCCAGACTGCTCTTTTTTAGCAGGGGCCTGATGACTGCAGTTTTCAGGGCCTTTGGGAATATTCCAGAATGAAGGGACATGTTTACTATCTGTGTGAGTGAAGGTAACAGACTGCTCAGAACAGACTTTAGAAATCTAGTGGGTAGTACATCCAGGCTGCATGTGGAGGAGCTCAAACTGGAGATTATCTCTTGGACAGTTTGATCATTTACAGGTGCAAAGTGAGTTAGCTCAGAGAGCCTTTCTGGCTGTTGGATGGTTATCTGTGGATTGGAGACAATGGCGTTTTTGATGCCTTGAACCTTGTCATTGAAAAAATTAGCAAACTCATTACATTTACGTTTGGAAGTTAGCTCTAATGGCATTTGAACAGGGGGGTTTGTTAATCTATTAACTGTTGAAAACAGAACACGCAGATTGTTGCTGCAGCCTTCAATCATTTCAGAAAAATACCTTTCTCTCGTACTACGTAGCACCTGGTTAAACTCGCACAACTTATCTTTGAAGATCTTGTAATCAACCTGGAGGTTGGACTTGCGCCACTTCCGCTCGGCCCTCCGGCACTCTCTCTTTTGTGCCCTGACCGAGTCTGCTTTAGCCCACGGCGCCTTCTGCTTATTTTTCACTATTTTAACCTTCACAGGAGCGATGGTGTCCAGAACTTTCAAAACACTAGAGGTGACAGAGTTGAACAGTTCATCTACAGTAGAATAAGATGCATTCTCAAAGTTTATCATTCCCATAAATAGTTCACCCGTATTTTCATTTATGTGTCTTCTTCGTACAGTTGCAGAGTCCACTGGTGGTTTGTTAGTGAAACACATGTCAAAAAATACACAAAAATGATCCGAAAGCGCAACATCGACCACGTTTACATTATAAATGTTCGCCCCCTTTGTAACTAACAGGTCTAGAGTGTGCCCTTTGCTGTGGGTGGGGCCACTCACATGCTGAGTGAGACCAAAAGATTCAAGAACAGAACTCAGCTCTTTAGCATTTCTGTCATCAACATTATCCACATGAATATTAAAATCACCTGTAATAACTAAACTATCAAAATCTGTGCATACAACTGAAAGCAACTCTGTAAAATTATCAATAAAACTGTGACATGACTGCGGTGGCTTGTATAGGACAACAAAAAGTATTGGAGGAGATTGTTTTTGTTGTATATTAAAAGACACATATTCAAAAGACGGAAACTTCCCAAGAGACATTCTATGGGAGACAAAGTGGTCTCTAAAAATGGCAGCTAAGCCTCCTCCTTTTTTGTTTTCCCGTATTTCAGATTCAAATTTGAAATTTGTAACACAACAGTAACACAACAGTAACACAACAGTCACACATACAGTAACACAACAGTAACACAACAGTAACACAACAGTCACACAACAGTAACACATCAGTAGCACAACAGTCACACAACAGTAACACAATAACACAACAGTAACACATCAGTAACACAACAGTAACACATACAGTAACACAACAGTCACACAACAGTAACACAACAGTAACACATACAGTAACACAACAGTAACACAACAGTCACACATACAGTAACACAACAGTCACACAACAGTAACACATCAGTTACACAACAGTCACACAACAGTAACACAACAGTAACATATACAGTCACACAACAGTCACACAACAGTCACACAATAGTCACACATACAGTCACACAACAGTAACACAGCAGTAACACATACAGTCACACAACAGTAACACAACAGTAACACAACAGTCACACAACAGTAACACAACAGTCACACATACAGTCACACAACAGTAACACAACAGTAACACATACAGTCACACAACAGTCACACATACAGTCACACAACAGTAACACAACAGTCACACAACAGTAACACAACAGTAACACAACAGTAGCACAACAGTAACACAACAGTCACACAACAGTAACACAACAGTAGCACAACAGTAACACAACAGTCACACATACAGTCACACAACAGTAACACAACAGTCACACAACAGTAACACAACAGTAACACAACAGTAGCACAACAGTAACACAACAGTCACACAACAGTAACACAACAGTCACACATACAGTCACACAACAGTAACACAACAGTAACACATACAGTCACACAACAGTCACACAACAGTCACACATACAGTCACACAACAGTAACACAACAGTCACACAACAGTAACACAACAGTAACACAACAGTAGCACAACAGTAACACAACAGTCACACAACAGTAAAACAACAGTAGCACAACAGTAACACAACAGTCACACATACAGTCACACAACAGTAACACAACAGTCACACAACAGTAACACAACAGTAACACAACAGTCACACAACAGTAACACAACAGTCACACAACCATGGGTTTCCATATTTTGGTGATTTTTGGAGATGACAAATATAACAAATGTAATTATAAAAACGAATTATCTCAAACGTTCAGTTCAGACGAGGCAGCACAGGAATTTACAAGAACTAAAGGCATTTTGCCCAGAAGAATGGACAGCTTTATCAACACAACACACAATGATCAGTTTGAGATGTAGAAATCAGGTTTTTTACCATAAATGTCTTCACATAGTCCCGGACAGTCAGAGTTTGTCGCTGACGTGAAACAGACACAGTAGAAAAACACAAAGCTGCTTCAGCTGACCTTGGGAAGGTCGAGGCCATCGGGGATAGAACCAATAAAGTTATTTTCCTTTTGAAGGCCAGAGCGATTGGGTTTTTAATGCTTTTATTATGTCCTGTCCTTGGGTGCTTTGAAAGGCACTTTTAAATCAAATGTATTATTATTAAATACAACTGGAGTCACATGAATCCAAATTATTCTAATAACTCTTAATATTTCTACTCTTTGAAGCACCAATCATCTTTAGATTTTATTACTAAAAGCATTTGTTGGAAGAAAAAAACCACCACATTTATAACTTTAACCAAAAGCACACCTCCGCTCTCCAAAGTGGGTCATTCAGAATAGTTCCTCAGGGTTCAATACTTAGTCCGATTTCTTTTGAGTTGTTTGTATTGTTTATTCCAAAAATGCATCCTCCTTTTTTTCCTTGTTATTATTTTGTTATTTAAAAATCAAAATCAAAATCAAATCGGTCGACAGTGGCTCAGTTGGTAGAGCATTGGCCTTAGAGCCTGAAGGTTGAGGGTTTGAGCCCACCACAAGACCTACTTCACGACTCCCACTGATGACTGCTGTCGTTGTGTCCTTGGGCAAGACACTTAACCCCACTTTGACTGAGGCCCCCGCTGAAATATCAAGGCTCCTGTGGACTCAGCACCTGCAGCAGGATCAGGGGCTGGTGCTCTGACTGCCACCCCCCGACCCAGAAATGGATTTTTAAACATCCATTTTCTTCCCCTTAATCCAACGTCAGAACTTGACCTTTGCACATTTCTTCCACTTGTTTTCCAGTGAGCTCCGCGACTCCGAGTTCAAGATGGCAGAACGTGGACAAATCGAAGTGAAAGGAAAGGGGCTCATGTCCACGTACTTCCTCCTCAGAAACACCAACTCATCGGAAGACGCCATCATGGGCCGAGAAAACTCCCGATGCGACCTCCCCGCAGTCCAGCAGAACGTAGAAGGCAAGTCCTCAAAGCACCAACAAAGCGGGGATTGTGAGCAGATTGTGATGTGACAACAGCGCTTTTAATTTGACACTAATTATTGGCTTGGTTGACTAATCCGCGTCGCCTTCTCAAAAGCAGTTTTAGTGTTTTAGGAGAATGACTCAAAATGGCAGCACTAATTGGGATGACATTAAAGCGACGGCACAGGCCTTCCCCTCTACGGGAGCAAAAAACACCAGACATGACAAACACAATTAAAAAGAACCGCGGCTCACGAGGGATTGAGCGTTTTCCGAGAGGGATGTGGGCAGAAGCGAGGGTTTTGATGTGCGCTGTGTGTAAATCTGACTGTAATAACTGTTTACAATCTCTCATGTGTTCTGTGCCTCATACTCGAGCTGCTCCAGGTTTCTGATCCACAAACAGAAGGTTGTAGTTTCTCCACAAACCCAACACGACGCAAAGATACTCACAGATATGACACTTAATTACTTCTTCATTAAGGCAAAGTTGGAGGTTTTATATGGGCGGCACGGTGGCTGAGTGGTTAGCACTCTCGCCTCTCAGCAAGAAGGGTTGGGTTCGAATCCCGGTCGGAACAGGGTCTTTCTGAGTGGAGTTTGCATGCTCTCCCTGTGTCTGCGTAGGTTTCCTCCGGGTGCTCCAGTTTCCCCTACCACTAAAAATACGCTCACTACGTTAAATCGTCCAGCTCTGGTCCTGACCAAACCGAGCATTCACATCTGGTTCCCGGGCGCTGTTACTACGGCGACCACTGCTCCTGACGTAAGCCTTAGGGCATCAGGATGGGTCAAATGCAGAGGACATTACAGGGACAATAAAGTTTACATTTGTTTACTTTATTTTATTATAGAACTTATTGTTCATTTATCTTGTGCTGTGTGCTCATCATTCCAACTGTTTTGAAACGGATGATGCAACACAGATTCCATTGATCTTAATGACTGCTCTCGGAGTTCTAGTACTTTCTGAATTCTGAGAGTCAATGTTATTGGTAATACTTTATAGTAGTAATAATAATTATTTTTATTTCATAGCGCCCAAGGACGCTTTACAATATATGAAAAACATCACACACATAATAAAAAGCCAGTTTAAAAAGGTTTCGACGTGATTTTAAAATGTCTGTCGCAGGTCGAGCGGTAAAGTGTTCCAGAGTTTACTTGATATTTAGTGTTCATTTTTGAGCAGCCTTCCACAAACCTCTGACAGTAAAATGGTGGAAGTTTGGCCCATTCCTCCCGACAGAACAGATGCAGCTTTGGCCATAAATATTCAAGAAATATCAGGGCTGCGATGACCGCGCCTAAACCTGTGTTGTCGAGCCGTTTTGTGCAAGTTTCGAAGTGTGTTCGTGGCCGAGGTTCTCTTGGAAACCCCGTCTGTGAACCTCCAACTCCTTCATGGATGTCTTAAGATGTCGGCTCAAAACATCCACTCCCTGCTTTGCTACAACATGATGCTGCCCCCCCTCTCTTTGCTTCACAGATGAGATGCTTTGTGCCTCTTCTCCAAACGTAACAATGGTCATTACGGCCCAAACCTTCAAACAGACAGACTCCCGACGCTCACAGGGAGAAAACTCAGATGAAACAAAACCGTAATGACCATTGTTATGTGGTCGTTTTGCTTCTTACTCAGCGCTAAACTCACGCAGCAGATTTGAGAAGAAAGTGGGCACAAAGGAAAATGTTCATGTTAGAAGACTTTGATGAAAATCCACATTTCAGTATGTTCCTCAGTCACAGACCTGTTCAGATCCATCCTCCAATCAGGGACTTCACAAACATAGCTCCGCCCCTTCTGTCTGAAAGCTCTTGTCCCCGTCATGTGATAGTGTGATGTCATTGTACCGCTATGACATCACTATGACATCACACTCAAAAGAACTCACATTCTTTGAGTTGTGTGTTTGCAGCCGGTAAATTTCAGATTTGTAAAAAAAAGAATGCCTCTCTACCCCAGTCCTTGAGAACAGGCATTTCCAAATTAATCAAAGATAGTAAACATTAGTCATTCAGCCAACTTCGGCTCCATATGGACAGGTCATATCCCTTTTTTGAGCCTATTAGAGCCTGAATCCAGTCCAAACTGGTCTACACTCTGGGTGGTCTAACCCTGTGACTGGTTTAACTAAAGGGACTTTCTTACTCAAAAGTTTGGACACCCCTGCTCCAGTGGGGGCTCAGGCATAGAGCAGATCAACACCATTATTTACCATATTTATCACTTTTGCATTTTACAACTTGAAATGACTCTAATGTAAATAGAATCATTAAAATAAAAACAATGCGTAGTTTTTCTGCAGTGCGTGTGAAAAGGAAGTACTGCCCCCGCAACCCGGCAATGGATAAAGCGTAAGACAATAGATGGATGGATTCCAATAGTTCCTCCAAAAGGCTGAATGCATTTGTAAGGATTAATAAACACACAGCCTTGAAGCTTTAAAATCTCCCATTTCAGTTTCAGAATCAAAGTGTGAAGAATTGGCCGAAAGTTTCTCGAGGAAAACTGAAAATAACAAACGGTTTCATCTTGACTCTTGGTTCTGTAAAAACCAGAGAGAAATGTAAACCCAGTCTGTTTGGAAAATATTTATTTCAGAGTTTGCACGTTCTCCTTGTGTCTGCATAGGTTTCCTCCAGGTGCTCCAGGTTTCCCCTACCACTAAAAACATGTACAATAGGTAATCTCCTCCAGCTCTGGTCCTGACCAAAAACACCTTGGGCCCTGGAGATGGGCCCCTGTTACTATGGCAGCATGGGTCAAATGCAGTTTAATTTAACTGAGCTTAAACCAGAACAATATTATTTATAAATGATTCGATACGTTTCTGAAATGAATAAAGGCTTTTGGCCCCTTATCCAACACCCTGTACAGTAAAACCATAATAAAATCAACATTTAAACCTTTGTGCTCAGTGTGACTGTTGGTATCTGGGTTTTCCACAGACGGTCCCTCAGAGAGCAGCTGTGGGCCCCTGCAGGAGGCCCCTGGGAGCCCCTTCGCCTTTGACATCACCTGGCCCTATCCCAGCAAACAGCAGCCCTCCCCAGGCCGGGGCCGCAGCACCTTCAGCCCCATCTGTCGAATACTTTAG